TACTTCTGAGGTTAGAAACTATACCTATTTTCAGTAACTGTATAGATTTTTATGAATTTCCAAGCTCTCCTAAGACCTGAGCCCAGTGTTTGCTGTGTAAGGGCAGGGGAGATACGCAGAGACACTTGAATCCACATTTTAGTCAGTTGTCAAGGTTAAAAAAATAAAATTGGCTAACTTTAAATATGTGTGTGTGTGTGTGTGTGTTTAAAGAGAAAATACAAATGACCTCATAGCTAGAGCTTATATACTATTGTCTCTAACAGTCAACCTGTTTATATTCTGCAGTCTTTTTTTCAGCGGCCTAAAAATGTGTTTAGGTGCATACTGGTTGACACAAGAAAAACAGCACGCTCAATAAGCAAAAAGTTTGGGTATTTTAAGAAATTATGTTGTTGTTTATTTTCAAAATGTGCTTAAGATACAAATGAGCTGTACAAATATTCATGAAAGTCAATTAATAAAGTCTAAGACTCAAATAAAATAACCTGCTAGGAAAGGAGTTCATAATCCTGCCCGCCCCCACACCCCCATTCTTTTCCCCTCCAAAGGCCTTCTGCATTCTCCTCCCCACCTCTACCACCCACACACCTTTCCCGTCCAAACTTTCTTTTACATAAACCAACTTTGTTCTCTCCCCAACCCCCACCCTCCAACTTTGTCACTTCTCCATCCTTTTAAAAATAAGTCAGAATTGACAAGCCAAATTCTTTTATGAAGAAAGCCAACAGCAGTGATTTATCCAAAACAGAGGCAAGAAGGTGATTATCAGCTAAAAAGATATATTTAAGACAACAATTGTTTAAGCCTTTCGTTAGGTTACTCTTAACAGGGGTTTGTGCCAAAGCAACTTCATTCAAATTCACACTGAGTGGGCGCTCGGCTTCAAGAGCGTCTGTAAATGCTGTCCAGAGCCGAACTGAAGGCTTTTTTTTGCAATCCGAGTTCAGAGGACAAGGATCTGATAACTTGTTCACTAAAACATGCATTCGAGGTTAGACAACTGTGTAAAGTTCAACAATCTATAGCTTACTTGTACACGCAACTGAAAGCATCGTTAAACAAAGCAAAATAGAACCCACTTTATTAACGCCTGGGACAGATGCAAAGCAAAAAGACCGTTACCAGTGCTGAAAAGTCCCTCCTCCACATTTCCCTCTCCCTTCAGGCACTTTCCCTTTATCCCCAGGTTACTGAGAAGGGAAAGGACTGACGGGAATTAAGGTTTTAGATGAAAGATGGGAGAGCAAACTAGGGAGCACAAGGTGGCAAAGTACCAAGGGGACGGAATGAAAATAAATGTGAAAGGGTGAAACAACGTGAAAGTTAGGTTACACGTGGAGTGGGAGAAGGTGACCGACCGCCCATCTGCGCTCCCACAACGATACAAATAAGCTAACATCCTAAAAATAGATACACAGTGCACCAGAGATACAAGGGCCGGGCTAGAGGAGGCTTTCTGATGGAGGAGATGAGAGATGGTGGTCCTTTCGCTTCAGCCTTACCTCGTTGGACAAAATGCTTCCGTTGGAGATGATATCTGGCTGCTGGTCGGTGTAACCCGTGACTATGGCCCCGCAGGGGTTGTGCTCAGTGTCCGTACTCCGCGAAGGGCTGCAGGGCTTAAGAAACATCAGGTCGGTCTTGGCGGACTCAGGGGTCAGGCAGACCTGGTAGCAGTAATTCTGGTTGTGGTGGTGGGAGCCAAAGCCCCCGGACTCCTCCACAGGCACCTGGGCCGGGTTACTGGGTACATTGGAGCTCTGCACCAGCATGATGTCCGACTTGCTGAGTTTCTTCTTGCGCGCCCGGGCTTGGCGGCCACAGCAGGTCGAACCTCCGCCACCGCAGCAGCAGCAGCAGAGGCAGCAATCACTGGCCAGACAAGTGTAGATGTTGAGCTTCTTCTCTTTTTGGCAACGCACGGCCAGCACGATCATGGCCAGCAGGAAGATGAAGGACACCGAGCCTAGCGCGATGATGAGGATGAGGGTGAGGTCTAGCGAGGTTTCCCCACCACCGGAGCGGCTGGGGCGCTGGTGCTCCCCTGACCCTCCGCCTCCGCTCCCGCCCCCGCCCTGGGGCTCCACGGCGCCATCCACCAGCTGAACCACCAGGGTGGCGGTAGAGGACAGGGGCGGCTGCCCATGGTCACGCACCTCGATCACCAGCTCATAAGGCCGCTGGGGGTCGCGCTTGGCTGGGATTCGGCGCGCTGTGCGCAGCTCCCCGGTGCGCCAGTCCATGCGAAAGAGGTTCATTTCGTTGCCACGCACGATGCTGTAAGTGAGCCGAGCGTTCTCGCCGTCATCCGCGTCCACAGCGGCCACGCGGGTGAGCAGGTAGCCCGGCTCCGCTGAGCGGGGCAGCACCTCACGCGCGGGCGTCCCATTGCGCCCTGGTAGAGGCGCCACGATGGCAGGGGCGTTGTCATTTTGATCCACTATGAGGATATTGACAGTGGCGTTACCCGCCAGCGCCTGGGGGCTGCCAGCGTCCCGGGCTTCCACCTGAAAGCTGAAGTCCTTGAGCTGCTCGTAGTCGAAGGAGCGCAGGGCGTACAAGTAGCCGTTCTCAGAGTTGATAGACACGTAGGTGAAGACGCTCATGCCCTGGATCTGGCACTCGAGGATAGAGTAGGCAAGCTGGGCGTTGGCGCCCTCGTCGCGGTCGGTGGCGCTCACCGCGTAGATGTAGGCGCCAGGCACGTTGTTCTCAGTCACATACACGTCGTAGACCGGCTGGCTGAAGCGCGGCGCGTTGTCGTTCACATCCGACACTTGCACCTGGATCGACTTACTGGTGGAGAGCGCAGGCTCGCCTCGGTCCCGGGCCACCACGGTCAGGGTGTAGGAGTCCCCCGCCTCTCGGTCCAGGGGAGCTTCGGTAACGATGGTGTAGTAATTCTTAAAGGAAGACTTGAGGCGGAACGGCACGTCTCCCAGCAGCTCGCACTGCACCTGCCCGTTCTCCTCTGAGTCGCGGTCGGTCACGCTGAAAAGGGCCACCACAGTGCCGGGCGCCGCGCCCTCGCTCACCGCCTCCTTCACGGTGCTGAAGCTGATCTCTGGCGCGTTGTCGTTAGCATCCAGTACTCGCACTAGCACCTTGCAGTGCGCAGGCACGGCGTTGGGGCCCAGGTCCTTGGCTTGCACGTACACTTGGTACACCGGGCTCTCTTCATAGTCCAACTCGCCGCTTACCTCCAGTCGGCCAGTGCGCGGCGAGAGTCCGAAAAGCTCCCGTGCCCGGGGCGAAATGTGGCTGCTGAAGGAGTACACGACCTCACCGTTCTGGCCCTCGTCCGGGTCCGTGGCATTGAGCTGGATCACGAGAGTGCCTGGGGGCGAGTTCTCTGGTAGGGACACAGTGTAGACAGGTTGGTCGAAAGCGGGCACATTGTCGTTGGAGTCCAGCACTCGGATGGTGAGTAGGGCCGTGCCGGTGCGCTGCTGCTGGGGGGGCAGGCCGGCTCCCCCGCCACCTCCCCCTCCTTCTCCTCCTCCTCCCCCTCCTCCCCCGTCCACCGCGGTCAGCACGTAGCGGTGCACCGCTTGCTGCTCTCGGTCCAGTGGTTTCTCCAGCACCAGCTCAGCGAATCGGTTGCCATCCCCCTGGGTCTGCACGTCCAGGGAGAAGTAGCTGTTCGGGGTGATCTCGTAGTCGCGCAAGGAGTTGGTGCCCACGTCTGGGTCGAATGCGCTCTCCAAGGGGAAGCGAGTGCCTGGCGTGGCGCTCTCAGAGATTTCCACCGTCAGGTCCGGCTCCGGGAAAGAGGGGGGATTGTCATTAATGTCCAGCACCTCGATCTCCACCTGGAACAGCTCCAGGGGGTTCTCCAGAAAGACCTCCAGGTGCAGGACACAGGAGGGGCTCTGTTTGCAGATTTGCTCTCGGTCTATTTTCTCGTTCACATACAGCACCCCAGTCTCCAGGTTGAGGTCTAAGTAAGGGGTCCTTGAGTTGGGCACCGTCTGAAACCCGCGAGCCGAAAGTTTTGTAATGTCCAGACCCAGATCTTCAGCGATATTCCCCACGAAAGTGCCATGTTCCTGCTCCTCCTGTACCGTGTAGTGAAGCTGGGAAAAGACTCCTTCCACCATCCAGAGCAAGGCAAAGAATAATAGCACAATCATCTCCAAAAGGAAAGGAAGTAGCTTCCCGCAGCCAGTCAGCCACCCAATCACCTCCCCCACCACAACGAAAAAATAAAAAAATCTGAAGAATACAAATAAAAGTGCGCTACGTGGGGGCTCCTGTGGCTTTCTGTCTTTAAAAATCTTACTCCGTTTGCTTCATTTTAGAGCTTCCCGCAATCCAGCCTCATTTTTTAATCTTAGCACAGGAAGGGTGGCAGGCGTCCCCTTTCCTCATCTGTAATCTTTCCACTGACCAATTAATAAAATAATGATAATACAACAGTCAGCGTCCTTTATTCCGACAGTCTTGGCGCAACGCGGCGCTGGCAAATCCCAAAGAGGAAATTTCGATATTTCAAGACTGTCCTCGGTTTGTCTTCTTGCTGATGGGAGGAGAATGAGGAGGAAAAAGAGGAGTAGGAGGAGGAAGAAGAAGAAGAGGAAGAGGAGAAGGAAAAGGAGATGCTGTTGGCACCGTTAAACATGCCTCTTAATGTCAACGGCTGGCAAATGCAAAAGGGCTTAAAATCAGCGAGAGAATTTTGTGCCGGAAAAGCACAGACAGGCTCTGCAGCTTAAAACTTTCATTCTCTTCATTTCTCCGGATGGATGTTCTTCTTGACATTTTTTTCCTCTTTCGCTCTATTTGTATTTTTTGTCTTTCATCGTCTTGGCTCCCTCTGTTCTCATCTCCACCGTTATTTGCCTTTCTGTAAGTGTAATGAGCAGTTTCTTTTCTGCTGTTTCCTTCCCAAGCCTCTTTCCCTCTAACCTGTCTCTTTTTCCTTCCAGTCCTTCCTCCTGCTTCAGCCTCTGAGCCTGTGGTCTGGGCTGGCAGTTTCTGAGCTCCGAGCGCTCGGCTTCTCTGTTTTTGCGCAGCGCCCTCATTCTGCCAACAAATCGCAGAGGAGCACCACCCACCGGGCTACCGATGATTGGCCAAACCGGCCGTCAAACAGAACGTCACGCGGCAGCCGGGCGGGGCGGGACAGAACTCTCGCCCGGGCGGCCTGGGTGAGTGTGAGTGTGAGAGCGAGAACAGCCCCGCAGGTCCCGAGGCGCTGGCTGGGGACACTGCCTCGGAAAGTTCCCAGTCCCCAGCCGCAGGTAATGGGGAGGGAATAGAGAGGTTCCCCTGTTTGCATCAGCAAATGTGAAAACATAATAGCAACAGCTGCGGTATCCTCTCTGAGGAGCGGGATTTCCAATGATGCTAACATTCTTTTTCCTTTAAGGTATTTTCCCGAAAACGGATCATGGAAATAAATCATCGAGAAGGGGAAAAAGTAGCGCAGGGCCACTAATTGGCAAGAGTTACCTAATTAAGAGACCCTAGCAAAGACTGGCAGGGCATTTAAAAAGTGGGTATTGTATGGCATGTGTCAATCCAAGCGTGAGGGGTCGAAGGGGCCGTGTGGAAAGCGGCGAAGCAGTCGGAGTAGGGGTGGAGGTGGGTCCTAAAAAGCGGAGGAATTCACGCTATAGGGTGCGGGGTGACAGCGCTTATAGACGTGCAGACGCGTTCGACGCGCCTCTTTCCTCCCTAAATATATATTCACAAAATAACTTACCAAGTAGATTAACTCACTTGAGGACCTAGCTTTGACCTGTGAACGCGTTCATCAGTGACTGAGGAGTTTGCTTTGAGCCGCTTCCTTCGAGCCCGCCATCCTAACGCTGAGCTCTCGGACACCCGGCACTCAGCACCGCCAGGCGCTGCAAAGCGTCTCTGATATCCCTGCGCCTCGTGCAGCCAAGTGCCACGCAGCGGCTGGAACACCGGCTATTTTCTAATTTGTTTTTTTTTTTTTTCAATTGGAGATCGATCCTCTTCTCCACCAGGCTAGACTAGACCACTAGACCACTGATTTCTGCGGAGCCTGGGGTCAGCCCGCTGCGTGAGGACAGTGGGGCGGCGGCGAACACGGGAGGGGTGGTGGGCAGGAGCCGTGCATACGCGGGACCCAAGTGTGCACCGCTGCGGGTATCTGCGAACACGTTTGCACATGCACGGTACTTGCATCCATCCTCTCTGGCCCAGAGCTCAGCTCTGTGTAAGCCCCCACGGAGCCTCCCTGAGTTCTGAAGAACGCGCTTGACCAGCTGTGAGTGCCCATTCCGGAGGCACAGGGGCAACGCGGCACATCCACACAGCTAGTTCTTGTGAAGTTAAAACACAGCGCGAACTCCTTAATGCTGGAGAGTGGATAGAATGCCAATTCTCTAAGGAAAGATATAGAAATTATATATATATATATATATATATATATATATATATATATATAAATTAACGGGCTACTAGTAAGGAATTGGTTGTTTATTCACTACAGAAGCCCCTATTCAATCTTCTTCTTATGCAAAGAGATAGGAAGGTCTTTTGCTGCTTTCTGGTAATGAATGATCCGAGAATACCACCACCACAACCTGCGGGAAAAGTAGAGTCCTTTTCCTGACCCAGAGGTACGTTGCCATTCCCTTCTGGCAGGGAATTGAGGAGGGCAAGTGTCCATGGGCGTGATTGTAGCCGGAGACATGCTTCTGAGAGTCCCGCATATGCACGTCTACTGCCCTGCTTTCTGCGCTTCCACCGCAGCCAACGACCAGTCCCCCTGGCCCCCACACTTGGCTCTTTCATGAAGATGGGTCCTGCCTTTGAGCGCTTAGAAGGAAAGGATGGCAGCAAAAATGGCTAATCCTTTACCAGCTGCAGTAAATTGAAGACTGGCCAAAGCCAAGCGAAAACCGCTGCAGTTAAAATGATTTTAGCATCACGTCTGCGGCTGAGAATGGAGCGGCAGTGTATAAAGGGACCTGTGGATCAATGAAAAGGAGACTATAGTGTATCTGAATATTAATACGGTATTTTATCTGTGCTTCCCACCCCTCCCCCCTTTCTTTTTCTTCAGATCTGCAAGAAATGAAATGTTTTGAGGTCTTCAAGCTGACTCGTCAGAATCCTGGAGCCTTTTAAAAAATGACGGTAATTTTCTAATGTGTTCATTTGTAAGCATGGAAACACTTGTGTGTGTGCGCGCGAGTGAGCGCGTGTTTGCATGTGAGAGACGTGTAGCTGAATGACAATGCAGATCCAGAAACTGGGGAAGAGGGTTTCTGCCCCCGAAATGTGGATGAAGTTTGAGCTGATTGGGTCGTATGCTGAGAGCCAGAGTGCTTCCAGAGGTGGAGATGAAAACATGGAGAGATGGCCAGATTTGCCTGTAAATAATCACTACATCCACTGTAACACTTGAGCTTGAGCTGCGTTTTTTTTTTTTTTTTTTTTTTTTTTTTTTTTTTTTTTTTTT